CACATACAACTTTAGTTATTGTCTAATTTAAGTAGTCCGCCATACAAGTAGATCACCTGTTTGGTTCTACACAAGCTGCTATACCTGTAACCCACTTGTGAGTTACCTATTTAAATACTCTGTTCACCTAACTAATACCAGAATCAACTAATGTCACTATAACACCTAACTACTTAAGCTAGCTAGCTTGTTGCAGATCCATTTACCTAACTCAGCTTAGGTCCTCTCGGGATGCATATTGCTCAACATATTTTGGCACGTAGAGCTTCAGTTAACTTCATAAGCAATCCTACTAGAGCGGTCCATGTCTATTTCACGAATTCACCTAGCTTAAACTCTTGCAAATGTTCATACAATCCCAGTTCCTACCATAGCTCTCCACTAGTTTTCTGTATCTATTTTCTCAGATGTTTTACAAAGCAGATCCTCTAATCTAGTTAGCCGCCAAGCTAAGTTGATGTTACTGATTCTCCCTGTGGAACAGATTTATGCGTACTCAACTCAATCAGTATCTTTTAACGATAGTTTTCTTTCTAGATCAAGTGTTAGCTAATGTGACTATCAAAAGTCGACTACTTCACCAACTCAGGATTTCTACTATGTAGATCCCCTGCTCATAGATCCTATCAAGATTTATTTGTATAATATTATACTCTCCAAACATTTCGTCACACTTCCAATATCTGAATGATATTAGTGCAACATGATTTACAGGGTTACAACTTTAGAAATAGACAGAGTTTACCGTAAGTTGGATACAAAGGTCTGGGTAATTATTCAAATTCGTCAACAGTAGGATTTGAACTCCAAACCTCTTGTATAGTGGTCTGGCAACCTAACTACTACACTAAGATCGCCAGATCTGTTTCTAGCTATCTTGTTAAATAATCAGTAGCAATAATAATATAATGATTATTTTGTTTAATAATTAGAAGAAGTCTCATTAAGTCAATTCTAATTCTTTTAAAAGCTAATCCTATTTGAATAAGGTGAAGAGGTTCTTTTCTTTTTGTCTTTTTTTTTTTTTTTTTTTTTTTTTTTTTTCCACTTAAGTGATCTTGCCCTTCATTTTATTAGGAGAATCATCAAAAGATAATACAGGCAATATAAAATACTACATCTCGACATAATACTTTACTACTCTCCTTGTTGCAATTTAGGACTAACTCTGCTGCCCAGATAGTGCTCAAGTTCGATCTGCTGCAGAAGCATTTTATCTCCTATTTGTAACATACTATCAAAGTAGCATAGGTTACTAATAATCAAAAAAGGCAACTTCTAGCCTACATCAAGATCCTAGGTCCCTCCTAATCTAATTTAAGACTAAACTAAAGTTGTTAATATCTAGTCTCAAGATGGAAAAAAATAAAAAATTATTACAAATAACGAAAAGCGGAAATGCTATATACTATAAGAACTTAAACTAGAATAGCAAGAAAAAGCTTGCTATCTAAGTGTAGGCAAAAATAAACAAAAATAAAAATAAAACGAACAGAAATTTTCTTTTTAATTTAAAAAGAAAAAAGAAAAGAAAAACCCAAAGTAGTTCTACTCAAAAGCAAGCTCAAAGGCAAGCACTACTATTAAAAATTATATATACTATTGCTACTTATATATATATCTTTGTAATATCAACTAATTTTATCAAGTCTATTTTTTACTCATCCAACAGGGCATAGCTTCACGTAATCCTCTAACGAAGACGTCAACAAATGTTAACTTGTAGCATGTAGCTATACGTGTTTGCAAGTTGTTGTTGTTTGGTAGTATACAACATAACTTTCTCAAAATAGATATAGTACGAATATAGATCTTTTAGCAAAAGTAAGCCAAATCCTTACTTTTTGTCATTGAGAAACAAAAGGAAACAATTCCAAGTCCAAAAGTCTAGTTGTTGTAAATAAAGGAAGCAGTTCTTCAAAAAAACAAAACTAAGAGAGTAGTTATATGCTTGACCTAGTACAAGCATAGTTAGAATCCTTCTTATACTTTTTTTTTTCACTGTTGATACCTTTCTACTAAACTAACTTAAAGTCGCTCTACCAAAGTCAGACGGCCAAAGAGCTCAGTATAACCTTGAAACTGACTTGTTGCAGTTCTTGCTACTGGCTTATTACAGCCTCATGGTTTATTCCTCATATAGTCAGTCACTTTAAGTAGTTTTACTAGATAGTAGCATAAGAAAAATAAATTTTTGTTGTCTTGTTATTTTGGTTTTGATGATTGTCGGAAAGAGTTGTTGTACTTTTTGTCTTTTTTTTTTTTTTTTTTTTTTTTTAATTAAAGGCGTCTTACTATGCTAAGCAGATTTTATTAGTTTAATATATGAGGTCATCTGTTGACAATCCTCTACAGTTTGTAATTATATGAAGAGTGTACAACTTGCCACACATACAACTTTAGTTATTGTCTAATTTAAGTAGTCTGCCATACAGATAGATCACCTGTTTGGTTCTACACAAGTTGTCATACCTGTAACCTGCTTGTGAGTTACCTATTTAAACACTCTGTTCATCTAACTAATACTGGAATCAACTAACATCACTATAACACCTAATCACTTAAACCAGCTAGCTCATTGCAGATCCATTTACTTAACTCAGCTTAGGTCCTCTCAGGATACATATTGCTCAACATATTGTGACAAACAGAGCTCTAGTTAACCTCATAAGCAATTCTACTAGAGTGGTTCGTACTCATTTCATGAATTCACCTAGCTTAGACCCTTGCAAATGTTTGTATAACCCCAGTTCCTACTGTGGCTCTCCACTAGTTTTCCGTGTCTATCTTCTCAGATGTTTTATGAGGCAGATCCTCCTAATCCAGTTAGCTGCCAAGCTAGGTTGGTATTATCGATTCTCCCTGTAGAATAGATTTATGCGTACTCAACTCGATCAGCATCTTTTGACGATAGTTTCTTTTCTGGATCAAGTGTTAGCTGGTGTGAACGTCAAAAGTCGTACTACTTCACTAACTTGGGATTTCTACTATGCAGGTCCCCTGCTCATAGATCTTATCAAGATTTATTCATGTAATGTTATACTCTCTGAACATTCCGTCACACTTCCAATATTTGAATGATATTGGTACAATGTGATTTACAGAGTTACAACTCCAGAAACAAACAGGGTTTACCATAAGTTGGGTACAAAGGTCTAAGTAATTATTCAAATTCGTCGACAGTGGGATTTGAACCTCAGACCTCTTGCATAGCGATCTGGCAACCTAACCACTACACTAAGATCGCCAGACCTACAATACCTTTTTTTAATCACTATATTTATTATTTTAATATTTAGTAATCATTACAATAAACAAAAATTATAGTGTATAATTTAAAATTAAGACATATTTACATAAAATTAAAAATTATTTTAGCGGAGATAGTAAAAAAGGGTCACTGTCCAAGACTTTTTACCTACCTGATATTATGAAAATTAAATTAGTAAGTATTGGTTCAAATTGTATGATTTTAATTATTTATTATTATTAACAATTATACAAGTGAATATTGATTTAATTTATATCAATTTGCAAAAATAGTAATCTCAATTAAATTAGAATTTTAGCTAGTAAAGTATTTTTTTTTTGTTGTATTGTTTGATTAAGTTATCTAATTATGTGATTATTTAGTATTAATAAATATAAATAATTTAATATTAAATATATGTACTTTAATGTAATATTTCTAATTAATATGATATGTAATTATATTATTTAGTACAGTATATATTCTTAAATTTGAATAATCTTAATAATTCTTCGCTATCATCATCACAAAAATTATATGTTCACATTATTTTGCAAAATGCTATAATCTGGCACAATAATTAAGAATCAAATACCTAATTAGGAATTTAATTAATTAATAATTACTAAATTAGCTATTCAACTAGAATTAAACTTGTTATTTGTTTATTTGCCTAATATATTATTTTTATATTTATTTTTGATTTATTTTTATATATCGATATCAATATATATTTGTTTGTTTATTTATTATATCATTATTAGTAATTTGATAATAAAATTATTTTAATTTAAATTTTTTTATTTAGAAAAAATTTTTATTAAAAATGCTACAAAAAAAATAGCGTGCTCATTTAAAGAAGGCTCTTCAAGCAAGAATACTTTATAAAAATAAATAAAGAAATACAGTTAGAAAATGATTTAGAATCTCAAGATCAAATTGAAAATAATTTAATATTTCAAGATCAATTAGAAAATAATTTAGAAGTGCAAGATCTGTTAGAATATAAACTAGTTTCTTCTAATACAATAAGTAAAAATTTTAAAATTATTAATATTATAGTTAATTTGCAACAATTTTATTATAGCGCTTTGCAAAAAAATATAAACATATGATTTTTATAATAATAATAATGAAGAATTATTAAGATTATTCAAACTTAAAAATAATATAATTATATATATATTAATTAGAAATATTATTAAAAAATATATATATTTAAAAAATTTTTTAATTTTTTTGAAATTACAAAATCTCTGATTCTTATGATAAAATAATTTAGTGTTTCTATTTTTTTGCAAAGTATAATAATAAATATTAATTGTTATTTATTTTAAAAATTATTAAACTTTAAAAATTATTTTTAAATATAGATATTATTACATATCCATTAATCAAATTTGAATCTAAATTTGAAATAATTCGTAAAGAATTACATATTAAAATTGATAAATTTCAAGATAATCAACTTTCTAATACAATTCATTTACTAAATAATATGATATATACAAAAAGAAAAAATATAGGAGAGCTTCTTTCACCTTATCTTCAAAAGAAAGCACTTAATTTTTTAGAAAAAGAAATATATAAACAAAATTCTGATGCAACATATTTGATTCAAAAAATCAAAGAATTAGAAACAAAAAATAATAATCTTAAAAAAGAATTAGAAGAATTAAAAAAAGAAATATATTCTTTAAAGATGAAAGAAATAAAAGCAAATCAAGCAAAAGTATTATATACTTCAAAAATTCGATCAGCAATTCAAAAAGCTAAAAGAATTACATCTCAAAATTTTCAAAAATCAGTAACAAAATTTTTTAAATTAAATAAGAAAGAATATTCTAGCAAATTTATGCAATTAGCAACAGAAATAAGTAATATAAATGGAAATTCAATAAATTCATCTATAGCTTGTACTAAAAAGTTTTATGAATTTATTACTAATAATAATTCTAAAAAATGGATTAGTACAAGTACATTATCAAGATGGAATAAAGAAATTGCTATACTTCATCTTAATGAAAATCAACCACAATCTTGGAATTGCTCTAATTATGGATATGG